TCTTGTTTCTTGGTCAACATTTCTTCTGTTTCTCGCAGTCGCTGAATAGCCTCTTGGGGGCTTGAATATTTACCCCCTTTTCCACTGCTACCAAACAACTTCCCAAACAAAGACATCTTGCCCTCGGAACGACAGCGAATAGTGATATTAGACTGATTTGTGGACTACTAGTCTAGACTGGTCACCTCAGTGTGGCTTCTATCTGTCACTGACCCAACAGGCTTGTTGTTGTTTTCTCCTCTTCCTCCTCTCTAACCCAGGCCGCATGCCATCAAGTGAAGTCACAGGAACATGACTCACGTCATGACGCATCGAACGTCTTCTTCTTCTTCTTCTTCTTTTTCTTGGCTTTTGCAACTTGTACTTATTGCATATCGCCACCTACTGTACAGGAGTGTGCAAATAAATAAATAAAATAAAACCCACAAAGGGTTATCTTTTCGTTTCTAAATTCTTCTTATTAATCCAGTATTTTGAAGAAATACAAACAAAGCTTTGAGTCTATTTCTTTCCATCCCTTGTTCTCTAAGAATATCTTCAATTTTATTTTCTTTCTCCATTTCCTGCCATTTCTGCCTGTATTCGTGGTATTTATTGCATCTAAACAAGACATGTTCTACATCTTCCTTGGTTTGACATCTTGTACATAATCCATTACTCTTCCCTATTGTCTGCAGTGTATCGTTCAATCCAGTATGACCTAATCTCATCATTGAGTATACTACTTCTTCTCGCCTGTTTGCCATATTTATCCTTTTTCCTCCTACTTTTGCTTGGTTTATATGATAATGTTTAGCTTTAGACTCAGACTCCCATTCTTTTTGTCATATTTGCATTATTTCATCAAACGTCTCCGGCCGTTTTTTTATAATCTATGCTCCGTAGTGACTTTTTTATGTTTTATTGCAGAAATATAATTCAATACAAAAGAGACAAATAATACAGAACAAAGAACATAGAACATATGGGGGAATACAGAGGAGAGAGAGAGAGAAAATGGAGGAAAAATATTAAAATGTACTTAAAACCCGTTCTGTAATACGAGATGTCTTCAGAGCTTTTTTATTAGAGGAGATTTTTTGAAGTGATGATAATAATAAATGTAGATCAGAAGCAAATATTTTGCAGCTGGGGTTAAATTTAAGGTATCTAACTTTGTGGATATGGTATTTAACCCATCATACAAATAAAGTGTAAGACTCCGTAGCGATTACAAATAGGTGCTGGTATATTGTAAGAAAAATATTATATTATACAATTATTAATATCACCATTAATATAACCAATTATTAATAAACATAAATTAATTTGGACTAATTTTACTAAATTTTATACTTGATTAATTTGAAACAATAATGTAATGAATTTAAATGTAAAATAGCAATTGGAACGAGTATTATCAAAGACTATAGAATACCCTTAAAGGGACTTTGGTATTAGTAGTAGTAGTAGTATAGGTAGGTCATACGTGTATATCTTATCTTTTAGAAATGCAAACGAATTACAAATAAACCATCGGTCATTTCGGGCATTCCTACAAAATAAAAGAACCTTCTAATATATAGACATCTTTTTAATGAATAACATTGTTTGAAAACAATAAATGAAACTATAATCCTTATTGTGTCATCTTAAAATGTAACCTTACATATATAATAGGTTCTTTACTTTACTTTACTTTTAGTCATTTAGCAGACGCTTTTATCCAAAGCGACTTACAAATAAGAAAAAGCAATTAAAACTAAAAGCTAAAACTCTATAAATACTATATATATATATATATA